GACAGAAATTACACCAAAACAACGAAAATATTTCTAAATACAATTGATTTTTTTTTTCATTCAAAAAACTGATTCTTGGAATGGCAAGATTTCAACAGAGAAACTCGATAGAAATGAATTTGTAGCTACGAAACGTGAAATACTTCCACAAGCCAATTTTCAGCATCAAATTCAAAGTGGAACGAAACAAGATTACAAAACTTTTTTGACGGATTTTAAAATAAATTATATTTATTACTTATTTAGGTGGCTAATAAAATAAAAAAATCAATAACATAAACTATATTAGAGGGAAGAATAGTTGGGGTGATCAGTCAAATAAGAAGGCAAAAATAAATTATACTATTTATTTTGACTAGTATCATTTATTTTTGCCTTCTTATTTGTCTGATCACCCCAACTATTCTTCTCTCCATTATTCACGACACTCAACCATTCACCAATTATAAACTATATTACTTCATAAACAAGAATGAAAAAAGTACCTACGTCTTAAATGTATTTGCACAAGTACGAAAATTATTTGTTATTGTCGACATCATTCTATTCGTTTTTAGGGAAATGATATTCAGGATTAGTGGAATCCTAAATACGTGTTATGAATTCTATGTATTCTTTGATGTTCAGTGTTAGAGAGAGGATGGCATTAAAACGAGATGAAACGTGTATTACGATTAACGAAAAATTTCCATTCTTTCTAACCTTTCTATACCTCTGGAAAGAATAGCTCAATCCCAAATCTCTAAATTCCTTGAAAACTCAAAACTACTTGATCCTCTACAATCTGGTTATCGACCTGGCTTCTCCACACAATCCGCCCTACTAAAAATTACCAATGACTTATATACCGCAATGGACGACAAAATGTTAACTGTGTTAATACTTCTCGACTTTTCCAAAACTTTGGACTCCTTAGGCCACTCTATACTCTACACTAAATTAAAATATCTATCCTTCTCCAACAGCCCTATCCTCTGGTTACAGTCTTTCCTATCCGACAGAACTCAAGCAGTCAGCATTCCAAACCAACCCCTATCTTCCTTCCTTACACTGTCCTCAGGAGTGGCCCAAGGTTCGAGCATTTCCCCTATCCTTTTTAATTAATTAATAAATGATCTTTCCAAATCCATCTACCACTGTTCACATCATTATTCGCTGATGACTCCCAAATCTATTTTTCCTTTCATCCTTCTGAGCTACAGTTCGCCAATATTCAGGTAGACCTAGATAGGATCAGTGCCTGGGCAAGTCTGAATAATTTAAATCTAAACGCGACGAAAACTCAGGCCATTATTATAGGTTCCAATTCTATTCTTAAATCCATTTCCTTCCTTCCTCCTTTAGTCATCAAGTATCATCCTATCACATCCAGCTCCTCCGTTAAAAACCTAGGAATCACCATAGACGAAAACCTCTCCTGGAAACCCCATATCGCCCTCATCCATACCATATATATCATTTTATTTTTATATATAGTATTATATTCTTCGTTTTACTATATGTTATTTTAATTATGTTACAATGTATTTTATTATATTAATTACCATTCATAATTCGTAATTTTTGTACGTAATATAAATTCCCAAAACCTTTTTTTTTCATATATATATATATATATACAATCAATGCTACATTCCCTAGTTACAAATGGAAATTTTCCATAAATCCATCCATCAGTATGGGTGAATACTACTTTCAGAAAAACTAAACATGGGAAAAATAAATAATATACAAAATCGAAATAAGAAGATCAAATAACAGAGTGATAATTAGCTTGAAAAGATTTGGTAACAAGATGACTTTGTTAAATTAAAAATTTACACAACAATAAACCAATATTCTATTGTCCAATTAGATCAACTACCAATAACAAATTTGAACTCAAACTATATTTGAGATGATGTTAGATTTCAATGAGATTATCCATAATAAAAACTTCAAAACCCAAGACTATCTTGGATGATATAATACATTAACTAAATTAATTAATTAAGTGTTATATAAATTTCAAATAACATTATAATTTTATAAAAAAGAAAATTAACAGAATGGAATAAAATCTGTGAATCCATTCAGTAATCAATGAAACTAAATTCCAGGTGTTCAGTAAAATATAAAATGGTAGATGATTTTCCACTAATCATGAATTCTTTCATTAGTTGAATTGCATATTACATTAATTTCCCATGTGAGCAGTTTTTAGATTAGACTGATAGAGCTATCTCTTAATGAAATAGGGCTAAATCCACTCTTAATGAAATTGAAGAGAACACAACAACCAAATCCAAGCAATGTAATTAGTATAACAATAATTTACAAACTACAAATATAAGGGATGAAAACGTGAACTAAAATACTAGAACATAGAAAAGCTTGTAAATGTTATAGACTTTATACAAGTATTAACAGTTTTTTAAAGAATCTGTATATATAGTTGCTGAAATTAATTAAATATAGAAAAAAATATGAAAAAAAAGGATATTGGACAATTCATTGTTTTCTACTTTGCATAGTTTGACTTAAATAGTTCAACTTACTTTATTACTATGAAGTATTCTTAATATTATCATTTTTATTAATCTCTTTCTCTACAAATGCATTCAATTTAAATTTATAATTTACTTTATATATAAAACATGTTATTTATAACTCAATTTTGTTTTACGATTTTACTTTTTTTTATTAAAATCACAGATGTACAATTATATTTTAAAATTAAATAGATAAAGCTAACATTCATGAGAAATAAGATTAAAAAAATTAAATAATAATACAAATGAAAACTTTTTTTACTGATTGAATAATTATAGATTAAAAGTTGGATTACTATTAATCCCAAGGAAACAAAAAATTCATTTCCTGACATAATTAAAGGGTTTATCAATTGTAAACATTAATTACTACTTGAGATTAAAAAGATAACTTAAGCACGTTTTGCTAGACTCTTTGAACATTGCACAGTTTTGAATATACGTGAATCTTAACATGCTAAAAAAAACATTTTTTAGGCAATAGTTTTTTATTGTGAAGTAATTTAGAACATTTTGATAACAAACAGAAGGGAATTAACTTAAGGGTAATCGATCGGTGTTCTTACTGGTTTTTCACAAAGGTACATTTCACACAGGCTTCAGTGGTAAAAATCGGTGATTTCCAGAGTAATTATCAGGTATCGTGAGATTGAAGGGCATACCAGCCAAAGTTAATTTCCCACAGTAACGACAGATTTTTGACAAATTCAGGCTCTTCAAGATTGCTATTCTACAGTAAACAGCCTATTTTGTCTCCTGCAGTGGTTCAGGAGCATACAATTTCAGAGTGAACATTGAGTATGGATTGATGTTCTATTCTCAACTGGATCTCAACTTTCCAGTGAGCATCGAGTTCAGTGCTTGAGGTTTCCCGAGAAATACCTAAACTGGACTCGGGAATACTGGAGCCATGTATTATTCACCGACGAGCCCATATTCAGCCTAAGGTCTCCAGATGAATGTGAAAGAGTGTGTAGGAGATGAGGCAAGAGGTAGGCTCCTTGTAATGTTTCTCTAAGGGTTGCTCTTTGAGGAGGCACAGTGATAGTTTGGGGAGGCATAATTCTAACTCCACGACAGAGTTGGTTCTTGTGAACTGGCTTTCAGATACAAAAGTTAGATCCTAGAACCTCATTAGATACCTTTTGCCAGAAATCTAGGAGGTGAAGTCATTTTTATGCTTGACAATGTCCGACGTCATGCTGCTTGGCTGGTCCAGACATGAACCTAATAGAGGAAGTATGGAACATGCTTGAGAGATGTGTCTGCAATAGAGACCCTCAAGAAGAATTTCAGTGGAAGGTTGGAACAACATCCCAGAAGAAGATGTAAGGAACTAAATGGATGGAATGAACAGGAGAATGCTGGCAGTAATCTGGATTATAGGAGAAAACACTTTCTACCGATTTTATTCAATAAGCTGCATTTTTCTTTTTCTTTTTTTTAAACAAAAATCTTCCAAAAATGCATGTTTTTTTCTTTATTTAATTCTCTGTTAATAAACTACTCTATATTATTCAAAAAGAATTCTTTTAAAATTCTACTAAAATTCAGTAAAATTAAAATATTGAAATGATTCTTTAATTTGGTCTGGCAGTGTAGTTAAATTCTTGAATAAATTTTATTAATTTTTTTTTTTTTTTTTTTTTTTTTTTAATTATTTTAATGGAATTTACAACTGTATTACATAGTGAATACAACAAGTAAATGAGAAGTTGGTAACATGGCATGTACAACATGAAGAGAAACTACCCATTGGTAGAACTCAAATTAAAGTTCTATATTAGAAGATCCGGAGGCCATTTTCTTTTCAGACGCCTCGGAGGGTTTTTTATTAAATTACATAGTAAAATTTTTATTGTTATTTATCGGCCTTTCTAATTAGGCCAGTTTCAAACAAATATATTTATGCATCATACACTAAAATTTTTTTTGTCTATAGTTCTTCATTGGAAATGTTTATTTTTTATTTTTTTATTACTGTCACCTACTTTTCTTTCGTCAATTGGTGAATAATGGTGAAAAAAAAAAGTGAAGATATTGATATTTTGTAAATTCATTCCATACTTCAAGGCATGGTAGCTCTGTTTATTCATGGGTCTAAAAAATGTAGCAACAAGCTACTACTACGAAAGTAGTAGTTTTCAACAGAAAAATATATTATAAATATACAAACATCTCCACACTCTTCTGAGTACTTACACATATATACTTAAAAAATGTGTAAAATTACAAAGCAAACACATTTTTGAGACAAATCACTGGATCTGGCTATTATTTTGGTATGATTCATCCCACTAATTATTTCTATACTTGAAGAGGAACATATGGATTAGTAACTCATTTAAATTTCCACAATGTGTTGTTACCCACTAATGTATATGTATATATAAACATGTTACTTTTTATGTAAAGCAGAAAATTCTTCAAAGAATCCATTATGTGTTAATTTGTTAATAAGTAAAACCTTTATAAAGCAATAAATCCCTTATATATCAAATATAAAAATCCTACCTTTGTAGTAAGAAGATAAACTGTCAAAGTACCAAGCGCCCACCAGTCAACAGCATGACCATAACCATTGAGAAAAAATATTTCTGGTGCTGTAAATATAAAATTAATAATCAAAGGAAAATTCAGTGAATGTGTAGAGAACAAAGTTAACAATCAATTCATATAAAAGAAATCATAATAATAAAATAATTGACAATATTATTATTATAAAATATTAAAGAACATATAATACTGTTTCTCCCTTCTTCTATTTATATAGTCCTCTATTTTACATATATATATATATATTATCACTGATTTAAGCATTAAAGAAATTCTTAATAATATAGTATCTATTCTTTACAGATCCAATCTTTTAAAAACACTATTAATAACTCTTATAAGATCTATAGTTTGTATGAGATGTTACGTTGATCGTGTGCTAAGGGTAAGAAACTGTTGCGAAATCTAATCAATATCTACACAACTGTTTTAAATAAACATCAAATATATATATATTTACAAATCACTGAATAAAGAAAAAGAGAATCAGAAGGAATTAGATGATCTGACCAATCTTATATATTTTATTAATCAAAACTATAAAACTTGTAGTTACAACATCTGTGAGGTTGACCATCAGTAAGTTTATGATCTTATAGTTCATGGTTTCATGTTTTATGAAGTGTTAGAGAAAAATTAAACTAACACTTCCAAATAAAATTAATGCACTAAAACTTTATTGTGCAAATCTTTATTTAGTAAACAAAAGAAAGATAAAAACCAAAGAAACTTAGTGGTAAGTGAGTGAGTGATCCTCATTACATTTTTTCGGCAAAGATGTATCGGGTTCTGATTGAGACCTGTTGTCTACTATCCCATACTCAGTTAAAGCAGGATAATAGCCTTTTCAATCAATTAATACGCAGATTAATAATACTTCACCAGGTAGAACCAAAATGGAGGAACTATATTACAAGAATCACATCTACATATTATACTTTATTTGTTTTGTCTTCTATTCTGCAAATCCTACACAGATAGATGACATAAACTTCAAATTTCTGACAACAGTAACCTGTATACGGTACAATCACATTCCTTAAGGCCCAGGCACACAGAATGTAATCTGTCACAGTGATCTGCAATCTCTATGAGTGACTCTCTGCAATAGATTGAGTTCTGTTTGATTGTGTTGATTAAATAGGTAGTAATATAGCCAGGCCTTGCTGCCTTGATTCACCTTTCTACATAGCTGAGGCTAAATCAACAGATGACATATGAAAATAAAATGAAATGAAAATAGATTTTTAATATCCAGCGTTTGTTGTCCCTTTAGGAAAAATTATAAATACAGAGAAAATGCCTGTGTGGCCATATATTAAATTAAATATTTACAATTCTCATTAAAATTAAAATATTGGAAGAAAAATAAAACAAAAACACTAAAAACATACAGATGTATATAATACAAACATGTGAAAATAAAATAACATAAGTAAATAAAATCATTTCTGGGGGAACTTAAAAAGTTCTCATATCTACTTTTCATGATCAATCGGGTTGGGAAAGAAGTAGGTGCTAAAAAAAGAGAGATTTAAATGAAGAAACTGTTTGTGCATATCGGATATTGGGAGGTATGGTATTCCGGATGGAGACGGCTTGAATTATACAGGATTTGTCAAACGCAGCAGTCGGTAAGGAGGTTGATACAGGTCGGAAGTACGGGATCTAGTGAGACGGGATTGAATGTAATATTTAAATTGTAGGCTGTGAAAAATATAGGAATGTCGCTGAGTTCTGATGGCTTGGTATAGAAATGTAGTAAGGAAGTACAGACAGTGGTTGGATGGATAGAGCCACTTCAACTTGGTGTAATACTGGGTTATATGCGTATCTCTTGAGATTCCGAAAACAAAACGTATTGCGCCGTTCATTAGGTGTGCAAAAGATGGATGTTCTGTTGCCTTCCTAATGAAATCAACTACCTTCTCATTGCTACAAATACCTGTACGTCCCAAGCACTCATATAACAGAGATCTTATTGGATATGCAGAAAACTTTTAACTTTTTATTTTTGTCAGAATGGTTGAAATTTAAATATAATTTTATGTTATAAATCTGTCACTTCTCTCAAGTAGAAACAATTTAAATATTAAAATTAATTCAATTTAATATTTATCTAAAATAATGATGAAGACTTACCCATGTACTGCAATGTTCCACACAGCGTGTTTGTTCTGTTTCCGTACTTCAACCATTTTGAAAGACCAAAATCTATCAGGACAACGTGTCCATCTGAATCAAGTAAAATATTTTCAGCTTTGAGGTCTCTATATATAACACCAGCATTGTGAAGAAAATCTAGAAATATAAACAAAAAAATATTGGAATAATTACAGTATTGATAATGAAACTTAATAATTTGTTTATTAATATTTATATTTCTTAGATGAAACAAAATTTTCAGGACGATCAATCAAGATATTTTTATTGGGTTAGCTGACACTTCGATCCAAACATGGGGTCATCCTCAGGGCTATCATTTGGGAGTCGAGACAAGAACTCATTGAGTCACTATTCACACATCTCTACAGTTTTATATTTCTTAAATTCCAATTACTTCACAATGTTTTACATCAAACTTAATTTACATTAATTAACTTAATTATAATTTATTTATGATTCTAAAAGATTTATTTTTGTTTCTTAATATTTTTATATTAAAAATTATTTTTAATTTAATAATAATAAGAGAAATTCAATATTATAAACACTACCTGCTGAGGTTTATTTCAATGAAAAATAAATAAAAATAATAATAATTAAGAATTATGATTTACAACAATTTTTTTTTCAAGTATACCAATAGTAATATAAGTAATACATTGTAACCCTAATATTGAAAAAATAAATAAAAACAATTTCCATTTCATTAGTATTATCCTAGCTTAGGTAATAACTAATAAGCGTAAATAAGTATAAAACTGTGTTGTAATATCAAATCTAAAAATATATGTATATTCAAAACTAATATAAAATTTCATTTAATAGCAAAAGAAAAACAGTATTTTTGTAACCCAAAACTTGAGAATATTAGGTTATGACCTATTGCTATGTTAACGTCAACATAAAATTTATTTTAACCAATAATGGACATTGTTTACAATATACTGCTCTCATTTACACCTAATAAGCAGCCTGCAAGTTTAATAAAATTTTTTTTTTAAACTAATTGCAAATAAAAATAAAAACCAAAAAGAATTATTAGCAAAATAAAATATTTTATTTTATTTATTTACTTTTTTTTTATTAATTACTTTTATTTTTTTATTACTTTTTGTTAATCATTATTGTTTGGATGTTCAATTTTAAAATGATTATTATTAATAATATTTTAAATTATTTTGTTCTTTTCCGTTCATTAATATTTCTTTTGATGTAGAGATGGTTGACCGTTGATATGATATGAGAAGGAGTTAATCGGGGGGAGTGCGGTCAAATAAATACTAAATTGAAATATAGCAATTATTTAATTACTATATTAATTAAATAATTACTATCTTTCAATTTAGTATTTATTTGACCGCACCCCCCGATTCATTCCTTCTAATATTTCTTTTATTTATAAATAAAAATTAATTTTAGTTCACATTTACCTGAATTTGGTACGATAATTTGATTTTGATTTTTCTCTATTAAAATGTGAAATTGAAATGTTTAATTCTATTATTAATTATTAAAAGATATATACCATTATAGATATTTTTTATTATAGATAATTTAATCTATTTTTTAAATATTTCACCTATATTAAGATCTATATGACAAGATAATATTAATTTCATTTTAATTAATTTTTAAAGAAATCAATTGTAATTTTTATGTAAATATTCTTATAGAACTTTATTATTATTTCTATATGAAATTCTTCTTTATTCTCATCTTATTTTTATTTATTTTCTTTCATTTATATATACTGATTTTATATACACTACAATTATATTATTCACTTATTGGATGTTCGACTGATGGAGGCCTGATATCTCAAACCGATACCGATGCAAATAAAATAATTGCACAACAATTAGTTTTTCTTATTATTTAGGTTCCTGTAGCATCACAGCTGTAATTTTAGAATCTGATAATATATTTACCTAACGCAGAACCCAATTCAGCAACATATATTTTGACTAATTCTTCAGGAAGGGCACCATACTTTTCACTGAGATCAAATAAGTCACCTCCTTCCACGTATGGACTAACTGAAAAGAAATGAAACAACGTTCATTTAATGCAACATCATCAATATAAACTTTATAAATGTTTTTTTAAATTTTTTATAAACCTATAAACAGTTTTCTTCTATCCTGCCAATATTGCGGACTGCTAATGATAAATGGATGGTGTCCACACATTGATTGGATTTTGACTTCATCTTTCACTTGAGAAACATAATTGTCTCGTAGTACCTAAAACATTAAATAAACAAATACACCTAAAATATACAACATAAAGTTGTATATTAGCAAAATACTACTTTACAACAAACTCCAATATGATTGTTTCTAGTAATAGATGAATTAAATGAGTAAAAGAAATAAATTATAAAATACAGATTTTTTTTTTTTTTTTTTTAACCCAAGAAAAACATATATCACAGGCACCAGTGAGTAAATTTTTTTAAATTTACAGATTAAAAATATCTATAATTGTGGAATAATGGTTGACTGTAATGAATAATTGAAGAGAAGATTGGTGGGGATGTTCAGTCAAATAAATTATATTTTTTGCTGACGTTTCAGCCCATAGTTCAGACATTCAACAGGGCTAAGAAAAAAACAGATAACAATGGGTATGAGAAACTATTAATATTAAAAATAAAATAATAATATGTGAAAGGTATAGTCCAAAAACATGTATTTAAATTTAGACTATACCTTTCACTTACATATTATTATTTTATTTTTAATGTTAATAGTTTCTCATACCCAATGTTATCTGTTTTTTTTCTTAGCCCTTATGAAGGCCTGAACTTTGGGCCAAACATCGACAGAAAATAAATATAATTCATTTATTTTAACTTTTTGTTTTACTGAATCCCCAACCAATCTTCTCTTTAAAAAAATCTAAATATATCTATATAATTATATAAATAAAAAATGTATACATTTATATATATTAAACATATAACAATGACATACATTCATTGCAAAACATGAAAAGTTTTTTTTGTTCTTAGGCAACAAGAATAGTCTCTTTTTGCACAAATTGTAGTTAAAACTTTATATTTGAAAGTGTTTTCTAATAAAAAATCAAGTTTCTCAAAACAAATTATACAGTTTAACTTTCCATAAAAATTAAATGGATATATTTAATATGTGATCCAAAATTTGCTTAAATGTGACAGACTTATAACAATACTGCAACAGTATTGTTTAAACATATTTAATATTTTGCAGATAATATCAGTTTATTAATTTCATTTTCTGAAGTAATTAGGAGACCTTGGGGAACGTGGGAGAATAACTGAGATGACATTCTCAGGTATCAACAAATATTTCTTACATAATTTAAAATGCTTACCTTTGATTTGCTTAGAACTTTCAATGCAAAATATTCTTGAGAATCGTTATTCATTACACGATAAACTTTTCCAAAGGCACCTCGAGATATCACATTAATCACCTTTAATCAAACAATCAATAACATAAAAATAATGAAAATGAGCCATTTAATTAAACTATTACGACATATATACCTCAAAATTGTGTTTTTTGGTTAAATCAATCTTAAATTCAGGCAAAAATAAAGCTTCAATAATAGGTACAGGCCAGGCAGTTTTGATGCACTGGTAGGAATTTTCTAGTGTTGAATCCTTCCATCTAAGAATAAAAATGTATCTTATATCAAACATAAAATTAACAAACAAGAAATTTTAAATATAATTGGTCAATTCACTACTGACATTCTACGTGAAACTCTGGACCATGGTCTCGAAGTACTGCTAGTGGACCTAAAAGTCCTAGAACTACCAAATGAGCGAGCACTAAACTTACTCGCAAGACTAGCAACTGAGAACTGAAAAAGTTAACCAGATACTTAATATATCTTCACAAAATAAAATAAAAACAAATTATGTAAATTCATTTACTTCATGATTTTTTCTAAGGAACGAAAATGTAAGCAGTCTCAAGGTACTATTTTTAGGTTTTTCAGAACCCATTTATCGTTAGGCATTCTAAAATTAATTTTTTATTAAAACTAAAAGGTTCAATCAGGCACAAGTGACAGATCTCACTTTGAATATAAGTAAGGTTATAATTGAACCTTCCCTTTTAGGAGGGAGGAGTGCGACACTACCAACCAAAAATATCGAAATTTCCCTATTGGCCACTACTTGAACTCATTTTGACTCATTGAGGAATTTATTCATCATCATAATAGATATGTATCACGACGAGATATTTTTTAATTTATACTAGGTATTTACAGGAAATACTAAATCAAATATGGTTCATACAACAAATAATAATAAGAAATTATTTGTCCTTCGAATCTTATCCCAAGTAAATAAATGTTGGCTTAATTAATAATTTACTAAAGAAAGAAATATTTATAATGCTATTAAATAATTGAAGAATTGAATAAAAATTATTTCCGTAATATAAATAACGTATTTACATTTATTGTTTTTACATATACCATTAAAAAAAGTAATAAACGAAAGGAAATTGTTTACCAGAAGCTGGACATCTACTGTCTACTACTGGACTACATCTATGCAATAACTATTACCACTGCTTTCACCAATACGTAATTTCACACAGTTATGCATAAAAAGAATATTAATGTTTCGAAAAATGTAACTTATTTTGATTGAACCTAAATTTTAACTAAAATAAAAGTACATTATTTCAGTAATAATATCATAGGCTAGGGATGATAGTGTAAATAATACGTATAAATATTAAATATTTAAAATTACAAATTATTTGAATTTTTAGAAAAAATATTTTCATGAAATAACTATATATATATATTATAAATCTTAAATGTCTTGATAATCGATTCTTTAATTTGCTGTGAAAAAGTGTCATTATTTTCCTGATCAATGAGTAAAACTCAAGAAATTTTAATTAAAAACTAAGATCTGCATAATATGTTAAATTTTAAAGATGATTTATGGTATACGTGAATCCATTCACAATAAATCACAAGTTATGGATAGATAGGATTTCATTCTGTATTCATTTCAAGAAATTGAAATAAGTCGGAGAAAACAGAAGTAATGAAATTTCAAAGAAGAAATTAATGCCTTTCATAACAACAATAACTTGATACCCAATTTTAATTTACCTTTTATTGTTTCATTAGGACGTTAACAGCTTTTCTGAGTCTTTCTTGCCAACTCTACTACAAGTACCAACCCAAACAAAAAAATTGTGATTTAACTTATTTTGAAGAATCTATTTAAATGATTGAAAAATAAATTCTGCCATTGGCAAATAAATTAGTTGAAATATTATTTACAATATTTTTACTTTTATAGAATTGAAAAATATTTAATTAATAACATTTAAGTTATGTTTGTCTGAGTCAATGTTATATCTTTTAATTCATTCAGCATTGCCTAAAAATTGTGCTTTTATATTTTTGGTTTTAATTTAGCATGTAAAAAATAATTTCTAAAAGAACTTTTAAAGCTATTTACATTTCAATTGAATTACTTAAAGAATAAAACTGCACTAACCACACACCAGGAGATTGTTTGATCAATCCAGTTATAGTTTCTATTCTGACCAACAACAGTACTCAACTACAGAACTGAGGGTTACTACTCAAAATTTTATCATAATTTGTCTATCACAAATTATTGCAGAAATATGGTCCATTCAAATTTTAACAAAAATCAACCTTCAAAAAAAATTCTATCAAAACCTGGAGGAAAAGAGGTATATTTTGTGTCATAAACTCTATGTCAAATCTATAGATTTTTAATTTAATATCATATAATATAATATATTAACAATGATTTACATTTTACTATAGACTATCCAGAGGCTTATATTCCAAGATTGTATAAAACCTGCACCTATGGCAATCAAGCCATTTTCTTCTTTGATAAATCCATTTCGTAATGGTTGTTCTATATTTTGCAATCATCCAACAAAAAATGTTCAACTAAAGATGGAAATAGAAAAAACTAAAAGAAAAAGAGTAAATATGCCATACTTATTTTCTAACCGTAATATGAAAAGTGGATAATCTAAATTTTCTTGGTGCAATTTTACATTCAATTAGATTGATGATGAAAGAGAAGCAGAGATGATGGGCCAAATAATTGAAGACATAATATGCAAGTATGGAGGACAAAGTGTTGATTCAGAAACAGCAATAACTACTCCAGAAAGTGAAATCTTGCCCCCTCCACGACCGCAATTGGTTCTAAATTTAAGGAGAACAACCTCACAAGAAACAGTAAGTATAACTTAATATCTACTATGATTAAAGATTCACAATAAAATTTAGTTTTTATTATTGAGTAGGGAAGAACATCTGGAGGAATGCAATCAACTTTTTCTCCGAGCCCTAGCTCTCTATGTGGACGGAATTTGAAAGTTGAACCAACATCAGTCTCTCCTGGCACACAGGATGAAGTCCACACTGAATCAAGAGTATTTCTATTTATTTAATTTTAAATATTTAACCACTGTGATGTCCAATAATAAATAAAATGTTAACAGAGTGAAGCTGAAGAAGAAGAGGGAAAATCTGAGGTAATCAAGAGAAGAGGCAAAATAAGGAAAAAAAAGAAAAAACTTATGTTGGAAATTGAGAAAGGAGAAAAGGAAGTAATAGATCTTATTGAACCAAAAGACACTTTGGTAAGACTCCAAATAATTTTCTAATTGATACAATAAATTAGACCCTTTTCTAACCTTAGGAGGGTTACCAAAATTTATTTTATAGGTGAAGTTTAAATGGAAATAACTCTATTCCCAAACAGGTATACACTCTGTTCATTCACTCGGGTATTCACTGTTCTAAATATACTCAGTTCATCCATCATGGCTTTATCTATTCTTTTTAAATTTATTTTTTGAGACATTTAGTATGAATAATTTAATTTATATTCAATTAATATTTCTGCTTTATAATAAGCAGCATTTAAAATTTTCATTTGTGATTTAAATTTGCTTTTTTATGATAGTTACGTTTTGTACCTTTCAAATGTTTTTATAATTTTGTTTATTTTAACTATCGTATTTATGACTTAATGAATGACAATGAGAAATTGTAAAGTTTTCAAAAACTTTAATTCACTACAATAAATTTATTTTTATTTGGAAAATATTTATATGATCTCAAGTTATATTTAGTTTGACTTAACTTCATTATTTTGGCAGTTAACTTATTTATTTAAGTGTTTAAAAAATAACTTGTATCACAATTAATAAAAACAAAAGAAAATTAACCATATATTGGTTAATATTTTTGAAATAGTCAAAAACTAGAGCTATAAATACTATTTTTGGTTTGTAGATGGGCTAGATACTTTTGCTTGTGATACCCTATTGTTGATTGAATAATATTAAACAAAAAGTTAATATAAAGATAACTTACAGGTTTCTACATGCAGAATAGATGGCACTGACTATGAAAGTGATGACTTTGATATTGAGAAGAATAGAGCAGCAAATAAATGTGCTTCCTCTCACCCAACTCCACCTTTGATGGAGTCCGACCTCTTTGACAACAATACATTAAGGCACCTCAGAAGAAGTCTTTCTCTTAGCGATATTGAAGCTGAATTCAGGAGGATAGTAAGTCATAAACTGTTATTTTACCTCGCTAACTTACAATATTCTTTTTCACATCATATGTTTATGAACAAATTTGAAGGATGTTACAAAATCACATTCATGAGTTCAGTGATTATTAAAAGAAAATGTTAGTCTTGAATTTGTATTTTCCTTCTTATTCAAGTATTAATAAGAATAAGAAATGACGTTAATTCAGAAGAAAAAAAATTATTTATAACAGACCACAAATTTCTAATAACTAGTGTAACTTTTTTGTATAACTTTTAGAAAGTTTATTTAAATACATTTTCATAGAAATTTTAGGTTTATAAAAGCCTCAATGTTGGACTACAACTACAGCCCTTGAGCATCTCCTTCTCCGTTTTGAAAGAAAAGTGCTTCGCCGTATATATGGTGGTATATATGAGGGAGGTGCATGGAGAAGAAGAATGAATGCTGAGTTAAGAGCGAGGTACAAAGAAATAGACGTATCAACATACGTAAAGATATCAAGACTTCGCTGGGCTGGTCACGTCATAAGGATGGATCCAAACGAAGTTCCTTACAAGATCTTAGCTGGGCAAATGTATGGTACCAGGCGGGTTGGACGCCCCAGACTTCGCTGGGAAGACTGCGTGGCTGCAGATGCAAGATCTCTGCTCGGTATTATGAACTGGAAGGCAGCAGCACGGAACAGGCAGGACTGGCGGTCTAAGCTTGAGCAGGCTATGACTCAACTAAATGGGTCGTAACGCCGAATAAGAAGAAGAAGAGAAAGCCTCAAAAGTTTTATAGGAAAAAGGGTCAAGTGGGTTTTGGATAAGAAGGATTATTAGAAATATGCAGAAACAATATCAACAGAACACTATTAATTATCTCTTTTTTTACCATAAATAATTTTTTTTAGATTCCTTTCGTCATAAGGTTTAAATGAATTAAATGTAATCTTGAGTTATTGAAGAAGTACTACAACAGTCAGAAAGTTCAACTTTTTTTTTAATACACTGTTTGCTTATTCCATTTCAATGAGGGAAAAAGTATTTTATAAATTACTAAATAAATATGTTTTTTTTTTGCCTAATTTAAATAAAATGTAAATTAAGAATATTTGTTTTACATAATCTCATAGATCTTCAACCTTTTCCGATATAAACTTTATATACAATCAGCAGTACCATCTAGAAAAAAATTTACAAAGCTTATGAGAATCATTAATTTTATCCTATCAATAAAGCAACTGAATTAGACATACTGCAGAAAAAGTTAGTTGAGGGGTGTGGTAAATACATAAAATACTACTATAGTAATATAGTATTTCATATATTGATCATATCCATCCTCTCCCCTCTCCCTCCCCCTCCCCTCGACTAACTTCTTCAAAATTTTTTTTTCTCAATTAAATTAGAATCTGCAGTCAACC